CCTTCATATTAAGGTAATAGAAAATTAATCATATGCTGATCTCATGAGTATTTGCATTTTAAAGAAAAATTGCAGAAAAAAACAATGCCTGACCATCATAAATTACTTATTAATTATGGAATTTGGGCCTCTGTGGGAAGATATTTAAAAGTGACAAGAGAACTAGAGAGTATTCTCAAATCATAGCATGAACAGCATGATCTTGTCTATTTGTCAGGATGGTCAGGAGATGGACACAAATCATATATTTGAGGATCATCATTATATTCTCTGGAAGATACTTAAATAATAGTTTGGTACACAGTGGGTACTACTATTTATTAAATAAATACATGATCATACTATTTGTTTTACCTCCAGTAAAATTTTGAAGAATATATTCCTTTGGAGAAATTAGAGTAAAGCAGTTATCTCTGACCTTCTGTTGTAATCCCTGAAACCTTTGGTTTAACTTTGGCAGAAAAGTGGTGCCCATCAAATATGTCATTTATTCATGGACATTGCCCTGATTCCCTTCAATAGGCAGGACTATGTGCATTGTTCTGGCTACTGAAATGAGAGCAGAAATTGTGTGTATCACTTCTAAGCTGAGAGTAAAAAGCTCATGCATTTTTATGAAGTCTCTGTTCTGTGGTGGAAGAGGCTCTCAGTTCCAGATGGTACAGCTGTGAGATGATGGAACATCCATAAGCCAGGGTCTCTGAATGTGAGGCACTGAGATTTTGAGGTTATATGCGGTTGCAGCACAGCCTTTCCATGCTGTGATCCAAACCAACAGTGTAATATTCCCATCATGGCGTGTACCATATTGGCTCATAGCGAATTTGTTACATATCTGCTACCCCATCTTACCTGGTTACTCTTTATTTTTGGTTGTAACTTTGTTCTAAAACAAAATATATTTGGAGAAACTATAATAATATTAGAGTATTTTTGAAAATTTAAAAATTAGATAACAATTTTAAGACAGTTACATGGTGGTACAAGATTAGTATAATTCAATTCAATTCAATGCATCTACTGAGCAGTAAAAGTGTGATATGCTCTGTGTTATCAATAGATATCAGTTTGTAATATTATTAATGAATAGAAATAAGATGCTATTAATAATTTTTAACAATAATAGTTTTAATTGCCTAAATAAATATATTATGAGATAATAGAAAATATTTATCAGTCTCTGTCCCTGGTTCCTGGCACAGAGTCTGAAAACTCTTGTAAATCCCTAAATGCTAAGAGCTATAGGCTCATATTTTGTTCTGATGAGGCAACTGTGAGTGGGCCCCGAGATGACCCCTCCATGGGCACTGGTTACCAGAAAGACCAAGCCATGATTAGAAATTTGGAATTTCCAGACTCACTACTCATCCTCCAGAGAGGATAAGGGGATAAAAATGGAATTAATGACTGACAATACCTGCATGAGGAAATCTTCATAAAATCTCAATAGTACAGGGCTTAAAGAACTTCCAGGTTGACAAACAACCACACTGGGGGCGTGACACACCTCAACTCTGTGGGGACAGAAGTCCCTGTGCCCAGAACCTGCCCAGACCTCACTCCATGTTATCTCTTCATCTGTCTCCTTTATCATATCCTTTCATAAACCGGTAAATGTAAGAAGTGTTTCCCTGAGTCCTGTGAGCCACTCTAAGAAATTAATTGAACTTAATAAGGGGATCATTGAAACCTCTGATCTATAGCCCATTGATAACCTGGGCTTGTGAGTAGCATCTGAAGTGTGTGTGTGTGTGTGTGTGTGTGTGTGTGTGTGTGTGTAGGCAATTTTGTGGGACTGAACCCCTAACCTTTGGAATCTGATGCTATGTCCAGGTTGATAGTATCAGAATTGAGTTAAATTGTAGGACATGCAGCTGGTGTTGCAGAGAATCACTTGTTATGGGTTAAAACCACCACACATTGGGGTGAGTAGGAAAGGAGATCCACAGGGAAGAAACACAAAATAGGGGATGATGAGGTTTGTCTCTACACTGGTGGACAAAAAAATTGAACTTTCCTTACAAATAGACTAACTTAATACTTTCTAATAATGTATCTTTGGTTTAAAAGCATCAATAAATGATATGATAAATATCTAGAAGTCTGATTTTCAAAATAGATATCAAAAGAAGAATGACTGGCCAGTTTGGCTCAGCGGTTAGAGTGTCGGTCTGCGGTACAGAGAGACCCGGGTTCGGTTCCCGCTAAGGGCATGTACCTCGGATGCAGTTTGTCCCTGGCCCTGGTCGGGCTGTGTGAGTGGCAGCCACTCGATGTGTCCCTTTCACATCGATGTTTCTCTCTCTCTCTTTCTTTCTCCCTCCCACTCTATCTGAACAAAAAATGGAAAAATGTCTTCAGGTGAGGATAAAAAAATAATAATAATTTTTAAAAAAAGAAGAATGATATCAATCTCCTAAATTTGCCAAATCATATATAATGTGAAATTATATATTCACATAATTGCCAATTCACATAAAATGTGAAAACATCTTATACTTGAAGTAATGTTGCAAATACTTTTATAGAGAATTATATTTTTTTTCAGTTATTTTATATCTGTTATTTCCACTGCTCCTCCTAATAGCCACATGAGTTAGGTCTGAGATTACAGTAATAAATTGCTGGAAACCAAGGCTACAATATATTGCCATGACTTGTCCATGGTCACACAGAGATTATTGGCAGAGCAAACACTAAGCTACTCTGCCAAAAGGGTTTATAAGCTCAAGTTAAGTTTTTCTTCCTTTTTTTTTAGCCTCACCCGATGACATTTCTGCATTTTTCCTCAGATAGAGTGGGAGGGAAAGAGGGAGGAAGAGAGAGAGAAACATCAACATGAGAGAGACACATTGAGTAGTTGCCACCCACACTTGGGGACAAACTGCAACCAAGGTATGTGCCCTTAGTGGGAACTGAACCCAGGACTCTCTGGTCTGCAGGCCAATGCTCTAACCGCTAAGCCAGACCAGCCAGGGCAAGTTTTCCTTCCTTTTTAACAAGCAAGTGTTTTATGTCATCCATCTCTCTTTATTTTGATAAATCTACTAAGTACAAGCCTATTCTATAAAATATCTATCCAGTCTTAATCACATTTCTAAGAATTTTTTATTAACCCCCAGATAATTAGGATCTGATGACATTAGCAGTATTATGTTTTCAGTGTTGTTCAAGAACACAACATTCCATGTCAAGGAGAAAGCCCTGTTTCCTCCTTCAAGAAAAAGAAAAGAAGGAGGAAATGAGGAGAAAGAATGAAAACAGATTTTATTTTTATGAGTAACATACAAGACATTCAATGGCAACTCCAATCAACTGTGCCATAACATGGAGATGAATTTAGCTGAAAATGTTACTTCATTCACATTTTGAAGATATTTTCCATCTCCATTTTACTTTCTAATATTGGAATAACTTCAATTTAGCACTACCTGCTAATTTGATCCCAATAACATGTCTACCCTCAAAATCATCATCAAAGATGTTAAGGTAGAACTAATTCCAACCCCAAAATGACTAGAATATTGCTTAAATACATCTGATAGGAGTTAGTTTACCTTTTTCCATAATTTGTCATCATCTTACCTAATGGTAGCAAGTGGTGTAACAGCAGATGTGATTGTTTTAAGATTATCTTAGTAATGTTTCTTTTTCCTATTAAAAGAATGGGTGCTTTTTTTACACTGTTTCTAATGGTCTCTTCTTATTTATTTACTTAATAAAAAACAAAATCTTTAGAGATGCCAGTAAATTCATTAGGAAATTATCTTTAGGTCTCAAGGTCTATATTTTCCAGGCTGAATCTTTTACACATAACCATTTTTCCAAGCACTTCATCCCCTTGCCTTTTTTAATCAATAAGCCATATTACATTTTAATTATCCACTGAATGTGCACACCAGTTTTGATTTTCCTTATTTTCCTGTAGAGAACAAACTTAGCCAACCGGTTTAGTAGTTTGCTTTGTTCTATTCTCCTTGAAAACTTGAGTTTTCTCCTCTAAGACACAATAGTCTTACTTATTGATTCATTAAAAAAAAATTTTAAATCAAAGAGTGAAATAAAATATCCAGCTCTGTTAATAATTATGCAAAGATTTAAAAGTTTGTATAATTGGCTTGTAAAAAGTTTCTTTTTTAAGCAAACTCACTAATGTACATTGAAAAAGTCACTTTATAATTACAATCATGCATGAAAAATACAGTGAAGATCAAGTTTATCTAAATGTGTTTGACTCTCAATGCTTCTTTATGCAATAATAAAACCACCACTTTTGTGAACACACAAGCTATGCTGACCTATTCAACCTTTTAAGAAGTCAAAGGTTTAACTGCCTCACAATTTCAGTAAGGCTACACTCTCTGTGAAAAGACCCAAGAGATTCTGCCCAAATTAACTCACTCTTGGGTATTTACACTTTCGTTTTTCTCATAGTTTTATTTTCCTTGTGTAATTGATGTGTAATAAACGTAATACATATTTTAAAAGAAAAGCAGGTGAATAAATACCTCCAAATCCATCTAGCGAAGACTGCCTTTCATCTCAGTCTACTGGTGAAGAAATAGATTAGATCCACATTTTCTGAACTCTCTCTGTCTAAATTGATAAAACTTAGAAGGAATGTGGCATACCCAACCACAGAATATTAGTTCAGGAAAAGGAAAATAAATCTAAAAGAATAACAAATGTCAAGTAATAACATACAAACGCTCTTCAAAATATAATGGCACAGAGAGAGAAAGTAGATGAGATGGTTCCAGTTCTGGGACTCTAAATTGTTCATGATGCTTTCAATCCCAAAACATCATGAACAATTTAGCAAATACTTAAGAGCATACAAAAAATGAAGCCACGATAACCAACAGACGACATCACTAAGAGCCTTAAAGTTAGTTTTTAGAATTTTGGAAATGGTTTTCTACCCTCATTTTGGACAAGACTGATTTCTAAAGTAGAAAGGCTGAAAAAGAATAAAGAATAAGGAACACAAAATTACTTACAACTGATCGGATGTTATTTTCTTTCACCAGCTTTAGAGATGATTTATAGCAATTTGCAAGGTCTTCCTTGTGGGAACCATTAATATGGCCTCTTGCTATTGGCCCTACAGTATGGATGACATCTGCAAATGCAAGAGAAAGAAACAATAAGATAAGCAAGGTATTTTTCACTTTTCACATAACTGGTGCCTTATTTATTTTAGGCATTTGTGTGGGAGCCTGAAGACAAGCAAGCTAAGAAACAAGTGCTTCTCTAATAAAAGATTTTAGATAGCACAACCCCCTAAAGTAGGTGATTTCCCAGGAAGATGATATTGTGAAAAGGAATTTCCTGGCAATAAATTGTTCCATCGTTAATGGTAAGATCCAAGTTAGACGAATTATAAAATGTGAATAACTGACACCCTGGTAAAAGATAAAATCTTGGTGGGAAATAAACTAAGAAATAATTGCCAGAAAAATGAGCATTCTGAATTGACATGGGAAGAAAGAACCAATGCTATGCATCATTTACTTTTAAATAAGACAATAGATTCAGGCATTGTACACAATAAAGAAGGGCAAGTTTCTGAAATATGACAAGATAATTTATAATTACTAGTAATAACCCTAAAATGAGTAATGTTAAAACATCCCTACCAATTTTAAAGTGCAATCTACCAATATATGAGATATCCTAACGATAATAGTACCTTACTTCTATTTTTTACTATACAGGGTAAAGCAAAAATAGGTTTTCTATGGAAAATAATACAGAAGTTAATAATTATAAAAACTTGTTTTGCATACTTACAACAGTAAACCTACTGTTGATTCATCCTATATTAAAATTTTATTTTTATTTATTTATTTTTTAATTTTCTTTTTCTTATTACTTTTAGAGAGAGAGGGAGAGAGAGATAGAAACATGATGACAGGGAACATCAATTGGCCACCTCCTGCATGGCCCCCACTGGGGATTTGGCCCACAACCTGGGCGTGTACCCTGACGAGGAATTGAACCGGCAACCTCTTGGTGCAACACTGAACCACTGAGCCACACCGGCCAGTCCTGTATTAAAACTTTTTTAAGAAAATCTATACGTTTCAACTTCTATTTATATTTAAAACACAAAATTTGTTTTTTGGTGGGTTTTTTTTTTTTTTTTTTTTTTTTGCATATAACACCAGCCATTGTGGTATTCTTTTAGTCTCTACTCATAAACTTTTGAATTTAGGATCATAATGAAAAAGGAATGTCCTAACTTTAAGTCCATAAAGATTATTTTTAAAATATTATAATTCAAATTATTTGTAAATGTCTTAAAACTCTTGCTTCCTAGTCTTATCTGTTAATCTATTGGCCCAGTTCATTTCAGTAACAGCAACTATATTGATCGCAAAAAAATTTTAGTCTAATAGTTTTGGAATATTATAATGAAATTATATTATTTTCTTTGGCTAATCAGTACCATTTAGTTTAAAAAACAATGAGAGGGAATAAAAACACATTACAAAAATGAGCGTGTGGAATAGTGTTAAATTTTATGTGAAATTTAGATAGCAGAAAATAAATCACTAAGGAAAAAATCCTTGTTGATTGCCTGTTAAATGTCAAGAGTATCATTTGATGTTTGAGAAAATCTCCAAAATGTTGATTTCAACTTTTAACTCTGAAACTATATCTAAACCCTAATCAGATCATATTAAAGGTAGTATCTTGTGATCAAAATAGGCAGAAATGTCACCCATAAATTCATGCAGATGTTATTTTACAGGCAGACTTGGCTTTAAAGTGAGAACCACTACAATGAAAGGAAAAGGTAAAGGGAGATTAGGGTGTATTAATTAAAAAAATAAAAGCACACTGATTTTTTTTTGTAATAATAGTAACAAGTAAGAGTTGCATATAGTGGAACAATACAAGCCTTTACCCTATGCAGTCAATTTTTAGATGAATATTTTACTTTAGTTTTTGTTTTTATTTTATTGTTTTTAATTAATTTATTTTTGTAATAGATGTTTCTCCTTTTTTCCCCATTGACATCCTCCTCCCCATCCTCCCCACCCCATCCCCAGCTTTGTTGTCCATGTTCACCAGTTATGCATACATGCATATAAGTTCTGTGATTTATCTCTTCCCTCCCCCCTAAACCTCCTCTTCTAAGGGTTGTCAGTCTACACTCTACTTCCACATCTCTGGGTCTACCCTGTTCTTCAGACTGTTATGTTCATTATATTCCACAAAGAAGTGAGATCATGTGATAATTTTCTTTCTTAACTTGGCTTGTTTCACTTAGGATAATACTCTCCAGTACCTTCCATGTCCTCTCAAAGGATAAGAGATCTTTCTTGTTTTACACAGGCATAGTACTCCATTATGTATATGTAACACAGCTTTATTTTTATTTATTTTTTATTTAATTAATTAATTTATTTTTGTTACAGATGTTTCTCCTTCCCCCACTGATACCTTTCCCTCTCCCTCCTCGCCCTGTACCCAGCTTTGTTGTCCATGTCCAATGTTCGTGCCTACATGTATATAAGTTCTGTGGTTTATCTCTCCCCTCCCACTCCCTCTTCTGGAAATTGTCCATCTGTACCCCACTTCCACGTCTCTGGAACTACCCCATTCCTCAGACTGTTATGTTCATTATATTCCACAAATAAGTGAGATCATGTGATATTTGTCTTTCCCTGCTTGGCTTGTTTTGCTTGGGATAATACTCTCCAGGTCCCTCCAGGTCATCTCAAAGGATAAGAGATCTTTCTTTCTTACAGCTGCATAGTACTCCATTATGTATATGTACCACCACTTTTTGATCCATTCGTCTGCTGATGAACACTTAGGCTGTTTCTAGATATTAGCTATTGTAAATAATGCTGCTACAAACATGGGGGTACATATATTCTTTCTGATTGGTGTTTCAGGCTTCTTAGGGTATATTCCTAGAAGTGGGATCACTGGGTCAAATGGAAGTTCAATTTTTAATTATTTGAGGTAACACTATAGTGTTTTCCATAGTGGCTGCACCAGTCTGCATTCCCACCAGCAGTGCACTAGAGTCCCCTTTTCTCCACACCCTGGCCAACACTTGTTGTTTGATGATTTGTTGATGGCGGCCAGTTTGATGGGTGTGAGGTAATACCTCGTTGTTTTAATTTGCATCTCTCTGATGATTAGTGATGTTGAACATCTCTTCATATGTCTCTTGGTCATTTGTATGTCCTGTTTGGAGAGGTGTCTATTTAGCTCCTCTGCTCATTTTTTAATTGGGTTCTTTATCTTTCTTTTGTTGAGTTGTATGAGCACTATATATATTTTGAAAATTAACCCCTTATCTGATGTATCATTGGCAATTATACCCTCCCATACAGTGGGTTCCCTTTCCATTTTGATGGTTGTTTCTTTTGCTTGATGTGGTCCCACGTGTTCATTTTTTTCTTTGTTTCTGTTGCCTTAGGTGATGTATCAGTGAAAATTCTGCTGCATATGATGTCTGAAATTCTGTTGCCTACATTTTCTTCTAGGATTTTTATGGATTCACAGGTCACGTTTAAGTTTTTTATCCATTTTGCGTTTATTCTTGTGTATGGTATAGGTTGATGGTCTAGTTTTATTTTTTTGCATGTAGCTTTCCAATTTTCCCAACACCATTTATTAAAGAGGCTGTCATTACTCCATTGTATGCTCTTGCCACCTTTGTAAAATATTAATTGAGCATAATGTCTGGGGCAATTTCCGGATTCTCTGTTTTGTTCCACTGGTCTATCTGCCTGTTCTTGTGCCAGTACCAGGCTGTTTTGATTACAGCAGCTTTGTAGTACAACCTGATGTCTGGTATTGTGATCCCACCTACTTTGTCCTTTATCAAGATTGCTGTGGCTATTTCGGGTCTTTTTTGGTTCCATGTGAACTTTTGAAGTATTTTTTCTAGTTCTATGAAATATGTCATTGGTATTTTGATGGAGATTGCATTGAATTTATAGATTGCTTTGGGCAATATATACATTTTAATGATGTTAATTCTTCCAATTCATAAACAAGGTATGTGCTTCCACTTTTTTATATCTTCCTCTATTTCTTTTTTCAATGTCCTGTAGTTTTCTGCAAAAAGATACTTTACTTCTTTGGTTAAGTTTATTCCTAGGTATTTTAATTTTTTTTTTGCCACAATGGTAAGTGGGATTGTTGTTTTAGTTTCTCTTTCTGCGAGTTCATCATTGGTGTATAAGAATGCCATCAATTTCTTGACGTTAATTTTGTATCCTGCTACTTTGCCAAATTCATTTATTAAGTCTAGTAGATTTTTGATGGAGTCTTTAGGGTTTTCTATGTACAATACCATGTCATCTGCAAATAATGACAGTTTCACTCCCTCCTTTCCAATTTGGATCCCTTTTATTTTTTCTTCCTGTCTGATTACTGTGGCTAAGACTTTTAGTACCATGTTAAATAAGAACGGTGAAAATGGGAATCCCTCTCTTGATCCTGTTATTTTTTTGAGGGTGGTGGTACATGCCCCTAGTGGGAACGAAACCCAGGATTTGCTGGTCCACAGGCCAACTCTCCAACTGCTGAGCCAAACTGGCCAGTCTTGTTCCTGTTCTTAAGAAAAATACTTTTATTTTTTGCCCATTGAGTATGATGTTGGCTGTAGGTCTTTATTATGTCAAGATATTACCCCTGTTTTCCCACATTGCTGAGCATTTCTATCAGAAATGGGTGCTGGATGTTGTTGAATGGTTTGTTAGTGTCCATTGATATGATCATGTGGTTTTTATCTTTCATTTTGTTTCCGTGGTGTATCACATTTATTGATTTTCAAATACTGTACCAGCCTTGCATCCCTGGGATGAATCCCATTTGGTCATGAGAAATACTTTCCTTGATTTATTGCTGGATCCAATTTGCTAATATTTTGTTAAGGATTTTGACATCTATGGGCATCAGGGATATTGGCCTGTAGTTTTCTTTCTTTGTAGTGTCTTTTACTGGTTTTGAATTTGAATTATGCTGGCCTCATAAACTGAGTTTGGAAGTCTACCTTCGTTTTGAATTTTTTGAAATAGTTTCAGAAGAATGGGTATTAGTTTTTCTTTGAATGTTTGGTAAAACTCTCCCATGAAGCTGTCTGGGCTT